CGGTACGAAGTACTTCTTCTTCATTGATAGATTGGCGGATTGCAAACAACTTATTGGTGCATACCGCAACCTACTGTCCGGTAGGAATTATTTTTGGGTATTAAAATTCAAGTAAAAAGACTCAAACCAATAGCTTCAAAGGGTGAAAAAAATTATATAAACCCTATATTTTAAAAAAAAGGAGAAATCTTGATGAAATTTAATTAAATTTTATGTAGTTTTTAAAAATGCAGATATTTAAATGGGTTAATGAGCACCTTTATGAAATCAACTCTGGAATTATCATAAAATATTTGAAGCGATGTTTCAAAAATTGTTTTTTAAAGGTTATTTCAGAGGTTTAAAGGTTTAAAGGTTATTGCTGCACAATATGAATTTATTTTACCAATGAGCCTTCTTGGTGGTGTCTTATCAAAGTCAATATTGTTAGGGTTTTTTTGTTGTTGTTGTTATGTTTGTTTGTTTGTTTTTTGTTTTTCAAGCTTTGGTGGTTGAAAACAATTATCTTTCAAAACCCTTAATTATATCTACTCATCTAATAACTTTCTACACAGAGGATTTAAGCTGAATAACAATTCACGTGGATTCTGTGAAAAGTACACTGAAACAACAAAAAAATTATTTTTCTTTGCTGTTAAAAGGTATGTGAGATTTGGATATGATTTTAGAGATGCTTCTCTAAAAATATATCACCATGCACCCTCTTACTCTGTCTGTTATTAAAAAATCGGATTCTGTCTCGGCGTCACCGCCACACTAACATATCTAGTTCCAGCTTCGGGCCCGGCCGATTCATGCTTTTTACTATTTGGACCCCTGTGGTCTTTGATAGTTGGAGGATATTCCAGAAAAAATATAAATATTATTTATAGAATGAGAACTCCAGAATTGTATTGACCGGTACTGTCTGTGGATGCTAGGAGTCATGCAATCAGTAGTATAAGATTTTCAGCAATATTAGATATTTTAAAACTATTACAACAGTCCGGAGCAAATAAGAAGGTCCCACCGAGATTTGAACTCGGATCGCTGGATTCAGAGTCCAGAGTGCTAACCATTACACCATGGAACCACTTGGTGCAGCATAGCTCCGATCTAAGAAGTCATTGATGAGTTTATGTACGCGTGGATAATCCATTGACTTTTTTTTCGTTTAGACTTTTCCACCTGACAACGGGGAAACGGTCTGAAGAAAATTAGATATTACAACGAGGTGCAAACCAGGGGGAAAACAATGGAGAACTCTCAGAGTTATGGGCAATTTGCGTAATTCATATACAAGACACCTGTATGTACAGGAAATGCGATCTAAGCAACTCCATGCCAGTGTATTTCAGTAGCCTTTAACGCAACACCAACTGAACAGCATCACTGGTACTAATAGACATAGGACTATTTAGTACGTAGACAGCAGACCTTGTGTTAATAAGCCGTTTTTTCAGTAACATGGCTTTGTTAGTTTTTGAAATCTTTTAGCCTACTTCATTTAGTCAGATAAGTTATATTTATGTGACTTCTATCCTCTAGGTCTGACAGTAATTGGCCCTCAGTGTGGGAAGTGAAATCAGCATCTGGTTTTCAAAGCTGTGGATAATCAAAGTTGGTTTATGAGTTGGCAAGAATGACATCTAGTTTTTCACAAAGTGCCAGGACATGTCTTCACTATTTTATTAGAATAAAAACAGATCATTAATTTCCCTAGGGTATCCCTGTCTCACATCTAAATCTGAAATATTTGATCATTACATAAAAGCAAATGGATCTAGAAGGGTGAAAAGAGAACATGACCAGATACAAGACATGCACATGTTTTAGATCTTTAGCAGAAACATATTCATCACTGCATCTTGCTGCTGGTTGGATCCCAGTGATGTGGGAGCTGATTCACTGGCCCAGACCTCCAGGGGGGAGAGGCAGACTGCATTGGGTGCCTCACACAGGCTGCTGTGTGAGAACTGAGTGTGAAATGAAGATCATCTTAGACAGAAATGAGTCTAAACTAAGTTTATCTTAGTCGAAAACATTAACAGAAAGACACTAGCGCTAATCTGGGTAAACAACACCCAGGTCCAAGAGGTATTTTTTCAACAATGTTATTTTTATGCCGAGATTATGCCTTGGTTACATTTTAGATTTCTTCATATTTATTCTAATTAACATATTAGAATAGTTTAAATTCCTATATTATAAAAATTCTTTATTTATATTAAGAAATGTTGGAACATTTCCAGATTCTATGTTTTACAGATACATCATTTAAAAGCATGACTGATTCTGTGAAACATAACCCATAAAAAAAAAAAAAGACGACTTAACCTGAAGTTTAGTAGTAGAACAAATGTCAAGTCTTGCAAGATGCTCTTTTTTCTTGTTTATTTGACTGTACTAGTACTTTGCCCCCACTTGTATTTGTGGTATATGCTTTTCTAATAAAGATTTTGCATATTGTACTGTACTGTCTGACAAGTTTAAAATTCATTTCTTTCAGTCATTTCAGAGCCAAATGTTTAAAGTCTGCATTAATTAAGGATGGATGGAACAGTCAAACGAGTGAATACACATACATGCAAGACACTAAACCATTCCAGTGTGGCTCTGGTTGCTACAAACGAGAACAAAACTTTAATTTGTTTTTCTGTTATTCAGTTTAAAGGTATGTGCAGATTTTTCAAAAATATAACATCTATTTAAATACAATGTGTCCATCCTCCATTTGCAATTTTTTTTCTTTTTAACCTGAAGATAGAAATATTAATATTTCTTTTTAAAATGGCTTTTTTGGTATGTTGTGATTTAAAAAAAAATTACAAGTGTTTTCTCTTTCTTTTTTTTGCAAAAGGTTTCCGTCTCTTGCAGGTTTATAAAGTTACCACAGGATAAATATGACTCCTTAGCCAAAAAAATTTAATCCCAATGGAATACAGAGGTTGGGATTGTAATAAGAAACAAAATGTTACCCTGTCTGAACTTAGACTTAGACACTTTTATTGTTAGTTTGTATACAGACTGTATACAAAAGAACCTCACAGCTGCTGCAAACCTGCTGATTTGATAAAACAAGCTTATTAAAATATGCTAAAGTAAACAAAGCCCAACCATCATGCACACATATTTTATTTGAAATTCGCAAAAGCAACACGAATAACCCAGGGAAACAGATTATGCCATTTTCCAAACAAGCTCGGTCAGACCATAAACCATTCCACAGAAAACCGATTGTAATTTCCCATTTGTTCAGGAACACTCTAAAGGTCTACATTGTTTTATGCGCTTCTTAGAGACAAAAACAGATTAAGCAGCTCTCCCATCTTTTCTATCACTGTCATTAATTACCATGTTATGGGTGTAAACAGAAGACACTACTGTAAGGTAAACTCATTTACTGATCAGAAACACTCAAGTTTCCCTCATCGCTCTTCTTGCTTTTTTTACTAATTTCAAACTGTAAATTGCATGAATTTAAAGAGAACAAGTGAAACATGGCAGAGAGGTAGACACAAAGATATGAGAATGCTATAAAGCCAGCAGCCATGTGAAGAAAGCGGAATACGAAGGGTTTAGGAAAAGAGCATTGCTGCTAAATCCTCCCAGATTACAGAAGCATTGAACACAACGTTTAAGGTTCCTCCAAATGCTTCAAGACGTGAGTAAAACAACTTCCAGAGTCTGGATGGCAGGACTACTTAGAAGACAGAGAGCCACCCATGGTGCTCCTTGGAGGAATCCATTTGGATGAGTCCCCATATCCTCACGCCGTGCTGTTCAAAGCTGGTTTCACCGCTTTAATTATTGCACTCTGCAGCACTGCAGGTTAGCAACATTACAACCCAGCAGCTACAATTTTCAGTTCAACATGTGGAGCCTGAAGCAAAGATGAGCAGCAGTCTACAGAGGTCAGGTCCAACATCTACATACAGAACTATTTTTATTTTCTTACATTTATAATTGTAGCTTTCAACAATGAATTTTAAAAATACAATTTTTTTTTTCAAGTAGTACTTTCAAGCACTTCACAAATGTGATGTGTAAAAGTTTTTTTTTAACATACACATGCAGGAGTCCTACAGGGGTGCATCCAAAAGCAACACCCTAAACAGTGCCCATGTCATTTTCACAGCATGCATGGCTGTTGCATGATGAACCTTATCCTTTCTGCATAACTATTGTAACTTACAGAGACAACGCGGTTTTATCCATGCAAAGGCACTCAAATCAGAAAATTGAAATTTAGCACACAAGGGTCCAACTGTACCTGCTCTGGCTTTACAATGTTTTAGTGTTATAAACAGATCATTCCTCACCACAGTGAGCGGGCTCTTCCGGAACGATCAAGTCAACATGTGAGCTGTTTCAATATTTAACTTCTGACCTTAATATACTTTTATCTACATCATGTTAAAAACTGTATCAAAACAAACTAAACCGATCATCTAGAGAAATATCTTCGTATCCGTAAGAGATCTCTGCTGGTATTTTTACTACTGAACATAAAAGTCAAACTTGACTGATTGTACAGCTTTAAAAAAACAAAAACACAACCCAATTTGGATTCTAACAGACACAGTACAGAAAGACGACCCGTTGTTACCAGAAACAGAGATTCACCAAGATAATAAATTCAACCAATGAAAGCATAGTTAGATGATAACTAAAGTCTAAATGATGCCAAAGCCTAAATAACATCCTCATCTCATATTCCAGGTACAAAGGAGGCAGACATGAGGAATTTATTTAACCAGCCTAAAGTCAAGAGAGCTTTTAATTAGAAAAAAAGAAAGACGAATTTCAAACTGGACTGAAGGTGGTGAGGCCGAGAAAAGGGTTACTTGACTTGTGCTGTCGAATTAATTTACAAACGATGAATGTAAAAAGTTGCTCATAGTCTGGTTGGTGAATCTGTGAACCCATTGCTACTTTAACAGAATGTTAAAGTTATTTTTTTGCCTTATCAGCATTCTTTAAGCTTAATTAATCAATTACAGACCCTGTCTTGGCCGGGGTTTGAGTTCCCTACAAACAGTTGCCTTGTTCTAAAATAATTAAGCTCATAGGATCTGAAAAGACTTTGAATAAAAATATATTTTCATGTAATAACCACTTAATTCATCTCCAGATAGAATTTTATTAATTGCACCTCACCAAAAATCACCAGAGGGTTGGTTAATTTCTGATATTCTCCGGGTATCTAGACACGTGTTGTGTGCTTCTGAAATATGAAAAAAAGATTTAAGATGGAGGGAAATAAAGCTGGGCTTCACTCTCCTGCAATTTTCGCTGTGTCCTCCATAGTTTCACATTACAGTCCCCCTGTTCCCCTCTGAAGGTGAAAGGGGGAGACAGAGGAAGGTCCATTGTTCTTCACGTTTTACTGTGAGTGACTGTTTTGCACACAAATGTACCATTTCTCCAAAATAAGTGATGAAGTAGCAGAAGAGGAGTGTGTACTGGGAGCAACTGGTCACAGTCCTGCTCATTGGGGCCATGTTGGTTAACGTTAAGCTCGAGCCTCCAATGGATCTGTTTCTCTTTCAGTGCTTTGAAGGGTCCCAGTCTGGAAGTTTCTCCAGTATGTCCTTATGTGCCACATTAACACTGGCCACCAGTCCTCCCTTGTTTAATGGCTCTTCCCTGTAGTCAATCTCCTCCCCCTTCAGAGTGGTCATGTGGCCTCCTGTAATCACAAAGTCCACGTGTTAAAAGTTCCTAAACTAAATGAGACATGACATAAAAATGAACAGAAAGAATTTTTGTGTTTGTGTTTATGTCCTTTTCTCAGCATTTATAAAACAAATTGGTTAATTTTGAAAGCCACTGTTTGAGCATAATTCTGCTACAGAAGATTTGCATCTACAAGACCTTATCAAAGAGGAAGCTGATGCATCCTCTAGTAAAGTAAATATTTATTTAAAGAGACGCAAGGTTTCAGAGGGTTTAAGCAGCCAACCCAACTGAAACGAAGACCCAGAAACAAACATTAGCACCAAAAAAAAGTAGAACAGCACATAATAAGATTTTTCAAAGAACTAAGAATTATAGTTACCAAGTGCATTCAGTAGTGCTGCACCAGCACAGATATCCCATTTCTTAATGTAGGTGATGTGGATATAAACATCTGCTTCATCTATAGGCTCTGGTTGGCCTGAATGCATCTTCAGCAGCGACAGCACCTTGTATCCTGTCAACAGACACATTAAGACACAGATAAAGACCATGAGCTAAGACACCCGATTGCCAGTGAAACTTAAAAAACATCCTTACATAAACGGCTTCCGATTGTTTGCAGGTCAACAGTTGTTTTTTACTTAATCTGTTAAGAAGTATTTGAGACAGACACTAAACCAGCACACTCAACTATGCTGACAGTGGTTCTTAACCCTGTAATGCCAAATGTATCATATTTGATACATACGGTTTCTGAAATGTTTTGCGTCTGACACCTTTTGCATAATTTAATGGTAAAAACTTTGCTCGAAATCCTATTGTACACAATCAGATATACCTGATAACAGAGGTCAGAAGACTGCACAAAAAATAATCTTGACTTATCGCATAGTAATAAATTATTAATATCAAAAATGTATTTCAGTTTTTTCTTTTTACATATTTTGTTAAAAGGCCAAATAAGGACTTCAAACCAAAAAAAAAAGTAATTTTCAGTTTTGTTTTATTCTTGGATCGGGCTTTAAAGGGTTAAAAGTCTACACATCCTGTTAGGACCTAAAAAAACTAAAACCAAATATAATAAATAATTATAAACCTGTTGCACAGGTGAGTCTACCATCATGATAATGCTTAATCTAACAAGATTTACTGATTCTACCTTACAAAAAGTCAAAAAAGGTATTTCACTGGATTCGTACCTGTCTGAGTAATCCTAAAGACATTAGCTTTCTGAGCAGCAGCCTTTCTCTTGGCGTAAGCACCTATCTTAACCTCACCGCACCTGCTCAGTAAACAAACGCCCACTTTCTCAGATCAACTGTGATGTGAGGCAGAATGCCATCATTCAAGATAAAAGCTTTATTTTAGTGCCAATCTTCACTAGTGACAGGAGTTGTTGTGTTTTTAACTAATGTTTGAATCGTGGAGTTGTGTTTTTCGGCCGTAAGAGGTAGCAAAATCAGAGGAAAAATCCCCAGAAGTGGGAGGATACGGTGCTGTCATGAAACACGGGGTGCCCTGGCAGAGTCACAGTTAAGACATCTTTCTTTAAGGTTGGAAGAAAACAACTAATAGTCCATAACAAATGAATTCTCTGCAGTTGCTACTGTATTATTTTATAATATAAATGCTTTGCACTGACTTTGAAAGGCCTAAAAAAGGGGGGTTATATAGGAAAAGTTGCAGCCCGACTCTTCCATACTCTCTCTTCTGAGTTAATTAACATTAAAAGTGTGTCCCATCTAGGTATAGAATTATCAGAAAGTAGTGAGTGCTTTTGTTTAACACAAACCCTACACACTGAAATACCTCTTCTTCCCATAAGAACAAGGAAATGCCAACCCATTTCATATGTCTACATTTTTTATCTCTATTTGTTTTTTTTTAGCTTAAGGAATAAATGTATGACAGAAATTTGTTACAAATCCACACCAGTCTTGGTGCATAAGGCCCCACAGCTGCAAATAACACCTGTAGGGTCCCCTCAATGCTAACATGCAAAAAAAAAAAATAATAATCCCTGCTCACCTGCTCCCCCTGCTGGAATTACTGTGGCATTTCCAAAAGCAGTGTGAAGGAAATTTTTCACTTCTCCAGAATGCGACCGGGATACAATCACTTTTGGAGAGTTGAGATTGTAGGACATTCTGTGCTCCATGTTTGTTCCCTGACCTACCATTGCCCAGGCTGAGGAGATTAACACACAAAGAAACAGGGAAAGGTTTAAAGCATTTAAATTGATTCTGAAGGCGTTTTTATTTTCCAAAAAAAATAATATAAAAATATTTGTTTTGCTTCTACCTACCAGTAAAACCTGTAAAGGGTTGGTGTATGACTCCAATGACTGGTTTACCCTCTAGAGCTACACACACCATAGTGGTCACATATTTCACCAAGTTCTCTGCAGAAAAATAAAGGTACAGGGTGGAGTGAGGCAAAAAGAATTAGGCTATGAAAGCAATGACGTATGAGAGAATGGAAGCTACGTGGGGAAGCTATTTGGAGCAGGTTGAGTTTACCTTGATGTGTTTCTTGCGTTTAGTTACAACAAACAACAATAATTAATCCCGTTTGTATTCAGATCTATTAATGATTTATTAATGTTTCAAAGCTATGAAGAATAGAATCCTAGGTTAAACCAAAACACAACATTTCTTGACAGATAAATACCCTAAACAGAGGCTGAGTCTTTAAGATGTCTTCTTTTCTCAGTATTCTGGCACGTAAGAAATCACCAAGACTAAAAACAAATGTAGAGTTAAAATATAAAAGGTCGATCAGAGGATCAGCTCAAATAAAGCCCAGTTTGATGTAAATCAAATCAACTTCAGAGCAGCTAATATGCCAGTTTTAACAAATGAGTTATACTGCTCCTTAACTATAGTTTTTCAGTGTCAAAACTGACATTGAATCTGTATCATCTGTATTTCTAAGGAGCCGGTCCAGCAACCCATGGCAGGGATTACCAAAGCAGTGACAGATATCTAGTGACACTCCCTCATGATAAAATAGCTTATTTTTGTCTCCAACTGGTTTGTCTGGTTGAAACTTACCACTCCCTAATGAACCACTTTATTCTCTTTTATACAAACCTAATATTGTTTTTAACACATTTTTGTTAACAAGTTAAGAAAAACTAAGGAAATGTAAAATATATTAAGATCTAAAATGTATTATTTAAATTCTAACACACACCAAAAGGCAGTTTTTCTGACTAGAGAAATTACAAGTAGTAGAGGCACACAACTTGGCCTCAGCCTGCTCTCAGAGGCACACCAGAAAACTCGCCCAGTGTCCTCAAACGACTGCTGTTTTCTGAATACAACATACACAGCGAGTCTGCTGTGGCAGTAAGGTAAACGCTGACCCACCTGTGTATTCTTGAGTAGCATCCAAAGGATCAATCCACACAGTGATGCTGTCAGGAGAAATCTCTCTGCCTTTCTCCAGCTTTAATATGTCTTCAGGTATGTTGCCACTCCAGGTAACTGAATCTGTTTTGCTGTCTTTTTCTTCACTGAACACCTAAATAAAAAATAAAAACTTTAGGCACAACCAAGACCACCAAGATGGGTAGATATTTTGATTTCCATCACACACAGCATCCAAGAAGTGACTCTGGTTTCTATGTGTATAGATTTTAACAATCCTGGAATTATATTTGACTACTGGCTTTGCTCACTGTGATTTGAGGAAACGTGTTTTTTATCAGATTAAACATCTTTCGGTGTGACTGCAGGTCCCCCATGGTCAGAAGCTCTTTGGCCCCCTCTTTTGTTTCTCCCTTTGACTTCTCGTTGAGAGTATCTTCTTCGCGTACTCTTTTAACCTGGAGAGGAGGGAGGAAGATGTATGTTAAACCAGATCATAGAGCCTGAAGATATTAAACAGCACTTTAGGTATATAAATGTTGTGTTTGGAACAAAAAAAAAAAAAAAAAAAAAACAGTTCACTCGGTGAAACACCAGTAAGGATGAGGGTGTTTCATTGCTGAATACAACAACAATGGGAAACCTAATATCCAGTAAAATATCCCATCATGGACGTTGATATTGCAATAACTAAACATTCATAATGTATACTGTCATGAATATGACAGTTTTTGCAACACATCCATCTTAGGTTTAAAAGAATAAAAAAATAAAAAACAAGATTTGCTTCTACCTCTTTCCCACCAAGTTGTGCGGCCTCCACAGAGACAGCCAGCAGGTCTCTTAGGTCCACCTTTTTCTTCTGTCTGCAGACAGAAAATCCCCAAAACAACAATAGACAGAAGTATTATTGTAATAACATTCATATATCGATACCAACTTCACAGATTTTAGTTGCTGAACCATTATTACAGTCAGACACACTGTCCTGTTGACCGAAGCCTTTTAAAAAACTTCAGCCGTTTCCTCTACCCTGCAGAATGACTATTTATACCAATTACAACATTACATTGTCATTACATTTGTCACCAGAAGATGAATGTTAATTGCTATAAAGTCTTGTTTTTACAGGATTAACAGTCACATTTTCTAAAGCATTCACACACAAACCTTTTTGTGTTACTCTAAATATGAATATAAAAATGGACCTTATCTGTAAATTGCAAACACCTTCAAGAAGCAGTTTAAGCTGATTAAAGTGCAAACATAGTTCAGCTGTATGAACAAAGATGGCTGCAAAACCATCTCTTATAACTGGAAAAGCACCAAAAAAAGAAAAAGAAAACTCCCAGAAATGAAAACAAACTGATTATAAAGAAAATAAAGTTGTCGTAACTGTAAATTTACAGTCATATGTTTATTTTACTGTTTTTATATATTTTGTTGGGTTTTTTTTACTATTTTTCAAGGCTGCATTTTAAATAAGATGATATTGTCCAGAGCTGTTCCAAACGATATTTCTTTTTGTTTTACATTTGTGTAAACAAAATGACAAATAAAATCTGTTTAAGTCTAAAATGCACTTTTTAATTTATAGAAAAACTGATAATGTTATGGTGATCTGAATGTTTCTATGGGAAATTTTTCAGTTCGTTCTTAATCTGATGGATACTTTAAGGTCTGTGAAAAAGTTATAAAATCAAGCACCTGCTGGGATTTGTCTAAATCAATAAAACCTGGTCACACCTCAAATAAAAAAAGGAAAACGGAAATCCTTATCTGCCAGGATGGCCTTTTAGCTGCAACTCAACTTCTTAATAATTAATCTAATTCAACTTCTTAATCAAATTCTTGGCACAAGAGGGAACTAAGTTTTAAAAATTCAGCTCATTGTTTGACAGAAACATTAAAGTGTGTAAAAGTATAAAAACAAAAGCTTGTTAGGATAATCTTGATTAAGATTTAAATGATAGTGTCGTAATATTTGATGTACTCGCGGTTAGCACTATGATTTATAATAATTTATTGAATATATATATAAAAACCAACAAAATGATGTACCTGAAGTAAGACAGATGGTTTGAGAGGACCCCGGCGTACAGGTGGTAGATGACGCCGACTCCCAGCAGGCAGAACACCGCCACTCCGAGCGGAGACAGCCGGATACCCATCGGAGCCATTGTCATTAGAAACCACTCTGAGGATTATCAGCTAAAAAACAAAAACGCAGGAGAACTTGTGATGTTGTCGGAGTTTATCAGTGTATAGACAGCTGACGTGGCTGTCCTGCTTCACAGCTGCTTTATGGAAAATATCTCCAAAGAGGCTCAGAACGAACAAAAAACACGACGATGAGAAAAAGTGAAAAGAAAAGAAACGCCTCACATCAACAAGCAGTAACGTCTATGAGCCCACTAGCCGCTCAGCATCGCCTGACATTGGAAATGTCCCGAATTACTCGGCGTCTCTGATGGAAACAACATTCCGTTTCTCAGACGCCTCAAATTCACTTTATTATCGCCGTCAACTCGCAAAAACAAGCCACGACTCCAGTGCTGTCGAAGCGGAAAATGAACAATCACACCTCTGTTCTATCATTTTTCGTAGGGACGGTCAACTGCCCCGACTTTTCACTTCCGGGTTGAGCTTGTCATAGAACCGGAAGTGTACCTTCTTTTCTGTTTTTTTTATTTATATATTTTCATTGAAATAATCAAATCTCAACAGAAAATAAAAACTTGAATGTACCGCAGAAATTAGGTATAAAAACAGAAAAGAAGGTACACTTCCGTTTTTTTCTTTTTTTTTATCACTACTGAGAGATTTTTTTCAGTATTATTATTATTGGCGTTTAATCTATATATATATATCTCTATATATAGAGATATATATATAGATCTATATCTATAGATCTATATATATATATATATAGATCTATATCTATAGACATATAGATATATATCTATAGATATATATCTATAGATATATAGATATATAGATTAAACGCCAATAATAATACTAAAAAAAAATCTCTCAGTAGGATTAAAAAAAAGAAGAAAAACACTCTAATATTGTTAGGATAATTATCACCTTGGTATGGTTACACCTTGGTATTGGCTGCTTGTTGCATGTCTGAACTAATTAGGACAGTTCCTCTGTCTGGATATACAGTTATTATCTTAATTTTGTACGTGGCAAAGATTTCGAAATTAAATGAGAGTGGCGTCCTTTAGCTAAGATTATATGGCAGACTGGCTCTTAGCAAAAAGTAGTATACTTGAAGTAAATTCTATTAAGAATACTTAAGTATAAGTTAGGTTAAGTATATGAAATATGGTTTAGAATAAGTAAACTCTAAGTGCATTGCCTGATTTTAAGAATGAAATTAGTGCACTTTAAGTATACTTGAATAAAGGGGGAGATGTATAAATGCCTTTTTAACTGTTAATGGGCAACTTCCTCAGAGGTGTGCCTGGAGGTGGGCAGCTGCCTTCTGTACATTGTAAACAGTTTCTCTGATCTGAGTAAGATTACAATTTCTATCAAAATCTGTTGTCATGTCTCCTGGTTAATTTATACATATAGGTTATGAAGTGTTATTTAAAGAGTTTGTCCCGAGTGATCTCTTTTCAGGGAAAAGAACCAGAGAACCAGAGAGATCAGCCTATCTTTAACAGTATTTACAAGTATTTCTGAGTGAAACACATTATGCACCCCTCCCCATATAAGAACAGGAAAGATTAAGGTACAAACCAGAGCGAGAACCTTTACTTCACTTTTAAAAGTTTATTTTTTCAGAGAACAGTAACACATTCAATAAAAAGAGACATCAAACATGACATTTCATCATAGCCCCAAGATGTAGTTACATTAAAATATCTGAAAAATTTTTAAAAAGGAACAGCAATAAATAAATAAAAATATAAAAGGGCTAGACTATTTTAGAGAGTGGATAATGAGGTGTATTTGGCTTCATTTCTATAAGCGAAGCATTAATTATTTAAAATGACCCATTATCTTACAAAAGGGTTACAACAAGACTTCCACTTTCTCAGGGAGATTTTTCCCATTTTTAAATGGTTCTTTGCAATTTAGGATAATTTTACCACAAGAACTATTCTTATTGATGGGGACATAACAGTTTGCTAAACTTAATATGAAACAGGTGGAATTAAAGTGTAAGTTAAAAAAAAAAAGTCTTGAAACAGTACATTTGTTGACAAATTTTTATTTGATTTCGAAAAATTTAACTGTAAGAAAAAAACTCAGGTGTGACTATATGAGTTTTGATGATAGCTGATAAAAGGAATTCCTTTACAGCCAACCAGGAAGTGTATCAGCTTTAACCTCTGTGACATGATTTTTTTTCACCTTCAGCCAAAACCTTAATTTTCCTTCTCAATTCTCTCCTCCTCAATGTTCCTGCAGACTGCATTGAAGGGATGCAGAAGTCCACAATTTTCCTGTGTCCCCCATCAATACCGTTATCTCTGCTGTCCAACAGAAAATATATCATTCAAAGACACTTCGTCTCACTTCGCTTCTTCCCCTTCTGTCGGCCATTTGACAGAAATATGGTACGGCTTCAGGTCTTCCTCTGATACAAAATCAGGCGCATTGCTCATGAGGTCGTGACCGCGGAATGACTTTGGGAAGGCGATGACATCACGAATACTAGAAGCCCCAGCCAAAATGGAGACCAGCCGATCCAAACCTACAGGGAAAGACAAAGGAGATAGCAAACCAGCTGAAGCTTAACTAAAAGCATCATTGGAGAGTGTTTCCTCAATTAGAACTGTTGTCCCAAAGAGAGAACAACATACTAACCACCCTTGTAATAATTATTTTTTAGGGATGCAACAGAAATGTCTGAACAAAGCGACAAACACTTTAACTGCCAGATGGTCTAATTCAGGGGTTTCTGAGGCTGCAGAGCCGACAGTGAAACCCTTTACAATAGCTCCTCACTGTGGCTTAAAACAACAAAGAACCAACTAATAATTTTTAATACATTTTGTTATATCTTATATGTTTTATCTTATAAAAACAGAAATATGTTTTAAGATCTATATTTTTCATAAGCTTGGACTTAAGGTGTTTATATTTTTACATTGACCATTAAGAAGGAAATCCATTCTTCCTCTTTATGAAAGTTTAATGTTTTGTCCTTACTTTAAACCTGTAAAGCCTAAACCATGAAATAATTGTCAGAAAATTCTAATTTCTTTTAAACTTAAGTTGGACATTGTCAAAATGAAATAAAACCATACATTTTTAATAACTAAAATGTAATAAGTTAATGTATCCTCGGTGATATATTAGGCATTTCTTTGCAATTAATTCTGAATTTTTTGTTCAACAGATGTGTCAAAATGAGTGAACCAGGAATATGAGGAGCAAAAATGTTGCACTGGTGATGTAGACATCTCAAATGCCAAAATATATTACACTTTGTGTTAAAGGGTTAAAAACTATAATAAAAAACTAAAACAGTTTGTTGTCCAAAATAACAGATTTTTTGTAGCATATATATATATATATATAACTGAAAATAATTAGCTGCGTTTCTTGTTGTATTTGCAGCTCTAAATAACTTTCTAGCTGAAATTTAGGTAAAATAGCTCTTTGGATTTGAACGATTGCAGACCCCTGGTCTAATTATTAACTTTAAATCTTCCTTGAATTCTTGCATTTAGGACTTTCCTATAACAACTGAGACAGCTGTGAAACGGTAAACCATCTAAGTGGGTAATTTTCTAGGGAAAAACTACATATATTCTTGTTATATTTATTGACTGAGGCTTACATCATAAACCCCCACACCAAAAACTAACATTTGTTTTTAACGAAAATTAGAATATTGCACAAGACAAGAGGGTTTGAAATTCAGAACTCTTATAAACACCTAATATACAGGGAAAAGTGAAGACCTGAGAATTACCTATAGGCCGTCACTCTCTGAAAGGAGGACAAGTTACAAAAAAAAAAAATAATAATAATCTAAATAAGCTGGACTTTCAACCACATCATGACTATAAGAGGGAATATTTACAAAGCCTGGAGCACAGCTGGGGTCACCGCTTCAACAACCACAGACATACGTGGATTAGAGCTACGTTACATGGACAGAGTTTGCTACAATGCTGATTGCATGTTTGTCAGCCATCCTG